GTCCTAGATCTCTCTTAACAAAAAATCTAAGGAAAAAAAATAATCAAATGTAAGCTATTAACTATAAGACAAAGAAAGAAGAAAAATGAAATAAAATAAAAACTTTAGGTACATTTTTTTTTCCTATTAACAATAATGGTTATGATCATTTTTAAAAAATAGTTAGATGAGAAGATAAAATAGCACTTCAACTTAATCATATATTCTGGTAAAATAGATTTAATTTGTTGAACGCTTGTTTTGTTTTGTCTGTGATTTTTATAAGATAAATTAAAGTTTTAAGTTATACATTATAATATACTGTAATATGTTTGTTTCGTTTTTTTTGACTGTGGACATTAACATTCTATTTTTCTTTTATAATTTTAGACTTTAAAATTATAATATCTGCAGACTCGCTCCAATCCACCTTATTTTTTTTAGAACGAACCAAAGTTTTAGATATGCGCTTTCAATTATATCTGCCTCATTATTATGTAAATTTTTGCAAAATCAAATTAAACGAGATGGACATATCTAGTGTTAAATCTTTGCAGTTGTTCATAGAGATATCGACTTCTAAAGAGATGAATATTTTTGTTACCTAAAATGGATGTTGATTTCTCCAATAGTGAATGAAATAACACTAATGGACCAAGGGTTGATGAGAATGTTTGAGATGATTCAATGAAAGATAGAAGTGTATTAGTGAATCAACGAAGCTATAATAAGTTTTGGTGGACCATCCAACACACTCAATGCAATGGCTCATTAAAGCTTTTGATTATGTGTGTACCAAAAAGAAGTAGCTTTAATTCCATTGTAAGATGTTGCATTTTTTGCATAAGAAAAAATCACATCTCAATCCTCATCTTGTAGTGTGATCCTAGCAATTAATTTAATTATTATCCATGTCTTTATAATACTAGCCAACAAGGGCCCAATTTCTTAATGCTATTATGCTATGATGGGACATGGTATCATATAAGATTCACTCAAACTATGTGTATGTGAGGAAATGAGAAATCAGAAAATTATATTATTTGGATATATTCACAATAAAAATGGTTTACAATTTATCTTCTCTCATATATGAATTATGAGTTTGGAAGGAAAAAAAGAATGTAAATTTATTGAAATATATATCCCTTTAAGTCTTTCTTTTAATATCCACCACAAATTAACACCATTCAATAATTCAAGACATGTCCATGATAGATAGTATGAATTATATTTATAATATGACCAAACATGTCCCCTTCAAACATCACCCTTATGTTTTAAGGTTATATTTATCTTTATTTTGTATTTTATATATACATATATATATATATATATATATATATATATATATATATATATATATATATATATATATATATATATATATATATATATATATATATATATATATGTGAGATCTCTGATTCGAATTTAATATATAGTATTCAACCTAATAATTTTTATGTTTTGGTATAGTTGATTTTAGTAGAATAAGATTTGATTGTTGTTGTTATCGAGTGTTTTAAATTTTTCGGACTCATATCGTATCTGTATAAGACCATGCATAATGCACCAAATGGAAAACCTAACTATTTAGAATCTAAGTTTCTCAAAAAACGACAATAAATCAACTTTGGAGTGTGACTTTTAATTTACAATGTTTTGTTTGATTGCTCATGTCATGTACAACTTTTTTGGTTAAAGTCATTATCTAGAGTCATTCATCAATAGCCACATGGAGCAATGAACTAGAACGTTACCATAACCTTAAATCTAAAGGATTAACATTAAGATTAGTTGGTTTTGGATTTTGACTATGCAATATAGTACCCAAGTTTGGTCCCAAACAAAAAAGTAAATAGGGCACTATTCTCTTATTTGGTCCTATCCCTCTCTCAAAAATAGACACTTTTGTTTTCTAAGTTGCTTTCTTCTTTTTTCCATCTTTTTTCCAAACCCTATTTTTTTTCTTGGTTAAATAAAACTTTATTAATATGGACCAATTTTATCTTTTAATTTATAGCCTCTTTTTGTTAGCATAAAATGTGGAAAGATGATTTAAAAATCTTTGCTTTTTTCTTTTCTAGGTTTTGAAGCATGTATGTATCTCCTAAGAGTGAGTGGAAGTTTATCTTTTTAAAGTAATATTTATCTATTTGGATTTTTATTTGTTTATTTCATAGTCAAAGTTTTCAACATAACATAAGCTATAGCATCTAAATTAGTTTACTATCACAAAAACAAGTTTTTGTTAACTAAAAATAAGTAATACAATTGTATGGTGAAACCCTTTTTGATCTTTTTAGGACATTGCATGAGTTGTTGCTTTCTAAAACCATGCAATTTGAGCAAACTTTTACGATATATTTCTACTTTTTTCCCCTACTTTTTATTTTAACTTCATGCAATGCAAATGCAACACATTCAAAAAGATATAGGGACACTAAACAAGTGAAGGGAAAATTAAATATGAGAGAAAAACAAAGTAGATCTGAACTCCATGCATAGAATTTCGAGCTTCTTACCCCATACTCACATGCCATTCTATCTGTCATTTGGTTCAAAACTAGAGTTTTATGAAGTGGTCCTCTACTCTTATTTCATATTAAACTCATTGTTATTGTTAATCATATTGTATATCAAATAATATTCTAGTATGTTTAATCAAAGGTTATGTGTTCGAATCCAGTTCTTAAAAAAATTAATGAAAAACTTTGTTTATTGTAATCCTATCTAAGGGCGACAAAATGGACCGAATATGCCATTTAGCCCGCTATTTTTGTGAGCCAAACCAAAATTTTCGGTCTGTACTCTCTACTTCATCTGATCACATTGTTTTTTCGGCATGTGCGAGTCTAAACAAGACGGACATTACTTTAGAGACAGCAGGGTTTGTCAGCTTCGTCCCACCTTATTTACAGTGAGACGATTCTTTATCGGCTCGTTTTATTTTTTGACCGAGTTTAGTAAATCGGACACGTTGTTTATCATCTCTAACTAAATCTAAAAGTTAACCTATGAGAAGGGCATTAGAGATATCATTTTTGTTTAAATGATTAATTGTTATGCTTGTATTGAATGATATTGTATGTGAGCAACAATGAGATGGTAGAGTAGTAATAGAATTAGATTTTAACATGTGGCATGCATGTGAGTCTTGGGCCACTCAACATATAATTTACACATAGTTTTTTAATTACTTTGGGTCTCTACAAAGTTTGAATATATTTTTGTTTTACTAGTAGAAGGGAATATATTCTTTCAAGAGTGAGACTCTGATGGTTCAGAGTTTGATAATCTCACCTAGTTGAAAAAAGCTTTAAAGAAAGCTTTAGAGATGTGGGATTTGGATGCTAGCTTCACTTTTTAGTTTCTTTTGATGTCAAAATATCTTCCACCAAAAAAAAGTGTAATTTTTTAGTTGTGAACATGTAAGAAACAAAAGAATGCACAACTCAAAAATTTGGCATGGCTAAGGTCTATAATAACTTTTTATTAAATGTCCTTTTCTTTCACTTATCATCATTCAAATCCAATTTTGACCTGTAAAATGGTTGGAAAGGAGAGAAAAAAAAAGTGGACCAATTATGATATTGAAACTTCTTTGATGTGAGTTGTTGAGTAATTAGAGGCATGCTTATCATCTTCATAGAAAAGATAAAACTTTAGTTAGATTGATTTTGCAATGTTTAATTAAATATTGAAAAATTGAATATTATAGTATATGTATGTAGCATATATAAATATGTAGTAAGACACCATGTGAACTTAGTAAAGAGCTACATCAAATGTGTAAGGTCATTGATTGGTGCCACAGTGGAAGGACAAAGGGTTGTAAGAAGTAAGTTATTATGACAGAGCACATCATGGGAATATTCCTCAAAATAGGACAAAAATCATAAGATTCTTGTTTATGTGAAAGTTTAATGTGGCTAATTACAAGAATTTTTAGTTAGGGACTTAATCAGAGTATATCAAGTAGCAGTGTAGCACAACACAAAAAGCACCATGGCCCATTTTAGATTTGAGTTTAAATACAAGACAAAGAGCATGGCCCAATAGAGCAACGAGGGATCCTAAGAAATTCTACACATATTGGATGTGAGATGAATGTCAAGAAAAAAAAAGTTCGTAAGAGATATGGTTGCCAAGATTTTGGATAAAGGTAATGAGTGACGGAACTGATGCTCATAAATAAAGACATATTTGATGTTTGATGTCTGAAACATGTCAATGTCAATATCTGACACTAACACAATATTGATACATGTGATTACGTGTTTGTGTATGTTCTAGTGTTTATGTTTATGTCAGTGCTTCATAGGTTTACATTGAATTGTAGAAAATTACAGGAGCTTTTGGCTCGTCTAATCTAACGGCTCTGCAATGACGACAAGAAAGTTTTGGATGAGAGTTGTCAACTTTTATCAAAAACTATGGATCAATTTGTAACAGAGTAAATAGATAGTTGTATTGGGGAATAATTGATTAATCTTGTCATGTTATGCTGCAATTGTTGATCTTTTGTCTAGTTGTTAATGGTTTTATCCAAGCTGTACTTGTATTTAACCACTTGTCATATTATGCTGATTGAGTGTGATACATAAAACTAGCTTCTAAACATTGCCTAATGTCTAACATTGAAAGGGTTATACAACAAGTAATCTGTGCCTAATATTTACCGCATAATATTAGCCAAAACCAACTAAGAACACTGCCAAATGATTCTTACAAGTTTATTCTGAATTTAACACATTAGAACAATTTCACCCAAGTCATGACTGGTAATTCAACAATGAACAGATGCTGTTTCAAGCATTCCAACAATATATCTAATGATTCTAATCCATACTGGATGATGCTTGGCTCAAGTTACCACAAAGGCGCAAACCAAAGTAAGGTGGCAGAAAATGAGGAACCTGCCGTATAATAATTGTGATTACAATGTCAGGTATGTGGAAGTCGCAAACCAAAGTCTCAATGGGGTGAAAGGAGTGGCTTAATTGCGGAAAATCTATTTATGATCCTGATAAGTCGAGCATATCAGAAATTTTGGCTGCATAATAGTCTGGCTGAATTATATTTGAAGGGTCTTGTAAATCTGATTGAGTTGTGCAACCTGTTCGCGCAAATAAAAGTAATCACAACATGTTGGTTAAGGTATATGTGATGCAGAAAAATACAAGTTCAATTACCTGAAAGTACTAGAAGAGTTTTGCAACCAGCATTTTGTCCGAACAGTATATCAGTATCTAGTCTATCACCCACCATACACATCTTGGAGCAAGTTAAATTGAATCTGCTTGAAAAATGCGTTAGGTTCTGAGAAGAGAAAAATATAAAGCAAAACGAAAGAAGCCCGGTGGAAAAAACCTAAGTTTAGAAATTTAACTTTCTTACTTCTCAATTAAAAAGTCCATCATAAAGGTTGATGGTTTCCCTACAACAATGGGTTCTTTCTGGGTTGATCCACACATGGCCGCAACCATACACCCCGCTCCTGAAATCCAACTTTTATCCATTATTAGAAGGACATACAACCAAGTTGCATATTAAAAATAACATGGGAGTTAATAGAGGACCAGGCCATTCTTGGGAAGCAGTCATATGCCCAACGGCATCACGGTTGGTGGCAATGAAAAGGCATCCTGGATTTTCGCGTATGCAAAGGGTTCCATACCTGTAAGATGAAATTCGAGATATCAGCATATGAAACAATTAAGAGCAAGTAATTACATAATTGCGGACTGAGTTCTTAAAACACTGTTTTTGTTTTATCAGAATTGAAATGACTGCCATGAACAAATATATGATTTTGATTATTCATATCAACCTATGTTGAAATGAAAAAGAAAAAACTACCTATTCACCTGCAGCATGCTACTTTCTAAGTCAATCACTTTAGGAAAAATTATCTGTTTTGGGGTTCACTTGAAAAAAGGTGATTTGTTCACTATAACATTTTGCAGTCTTGTGAACTTATTTCAACAGCCCGCAAATCAGCCCATGCAAATCTTCGGTGGACTGATGAAGCCAAACTACAAATCTTAGAAGTTCAAATATTTGACGTAAACAAACATTTGAGAAACTTTAAAACTTCGATGCATTGATGAAACCAAACTATGATCATTAGAAATTCATGTTAAGTCAGCCTGATCCAAAGAATATGCAATGCGGATGCTTCAGGTTATACTATTACTAACAACTGGAATATTGTTATGTTAATATCGATACTCATTTGGGACTCTATATTTACAAATCTAATTCATCAAGGGTTCTGAACTAAATATTTTGAGACAAAAGAAGCAGAAGATAATGTGTTCAAGAAAAGAACAAAGGGAAGTATTTTCTTACTGAAGCTTGTAATAGTTAATTTTTGGATCTATACCAACCACTACAGCTCCAACCTGAAAAAGTGAACTCGTCAGTTAACTTCATGCGGCGATCTCAACAGTGTTACTCAAAGTAAGAATTGGAAAGGTGTTACATTACACTCTTATCATGTTCAAAAAAGCCGCTCTGCTTCCAATCTATTGTTTTGTCCGCATCTCCCTGCAATTATGAATGCTTCAGTTAGAATATCTTGGGTCACAATCCAGCAAATCTCACACCTCTCTATGCATCGATTGAAGCATGTATTTTTCTTAAGAAAAATGTAGCCTAATGGAGTGTCTATGTTCACTTGAGCCAAAAATGTTAGTGCCAGAGTTTCCATTCTAACACACCACTCACAAAAACATCTTGCTTACTCTTAACCAGTTCCTATTCAATGAAGGTGAAAATTAACCATCCAAACAACCAAAGTTTCGAGGGAAAGACAACTTTAAAACAAAAACTAATCTGGTACGTAGAACAACAGTGCATAGATGCATCTTAAATTTCCCTGCAGACACCATGTTCTCCAATTTCTACACAACAACAACAACAGCAACAACAACCAAGCCTTATCCCACTAAGTGGGGTTGGCTACATGAATCAACTTCCGCCAGGGCCATGCTTTTATCCAAATAGTTAATCTCAAACTCTTTCTTAATAACTTGTCTTATAGTTTTCCTAGGTCTTTCTTAAAATTATGGAGAACTTACAGGACCACCAAAAGCTGTGAAACCAGCAAGCTGCAACTCATCCAGTATACCATCCCCGCCGATCACATAAACCTGAACATTCAGTACTACATTAGTGAATCTATATACAGGTCGGTAACTGATTTTGACATGAAAAATCTAAAACAAAACTGAAAACTAGGGACCCTATTTGATACAAGCAAATACTTCTAAATCATATTTTCACTTTCAATTACTAAACAAAGCTCAATTTTCATATTTGTGTTTGCTATAAAATTGCTAATCGGTAACACAGGCAAGAAACAAGCGAAAGCAATAGATTAAGCAAAGCAAGAACCTTGTTTTGCGAAGGGAAATTGTTAACCTTCAAGTACATAGCAGCTGCGAACGACGACGAGAATATCTCATCCTGTAATGTAAGCAACACAAAAAATATTACTATCAAGCAGATACTATAATTTTATTAAACATGAAATCGAAAAAGAAAGATAATCGAACCGGGGAAACAGAAATTCCCAAAGATTTGAACTTTTCAGCATATTGAATTCTAGACTTCCAGGAATTATTGGTGACAAACACCAGCTTCTTCCCCTAACAACGAAATTACAGATTAGTCTCAACTCATAAGAAAACATTTCATTGCAATGGATGATGCAGGTTAGTTAGTCAGTTACCTTGGATCGAAGCATGTCGAGAGTTTGAGAAGCGCCATCGATGAGTTCATCACCCTTCCAAATCACACCTAAACCAGAGAGAGTTACATGAATGAAATTCTGAAGAAAGAAAGAATCAGAGAAAAGTGAAAATTGAAATGTTAATAATGATAATAGAGTTACCATCGCAATCGAAGAGAAAAGCTTCGACGGAATTCAATAGATCTTTGAAATTGTGAGCGGAAAGAGACTGCGACGAACTCATGAGAATGAAACAGTGCGGTTACAACAACGCTAAAACAGTTTCCTATTTGTTCTTTGTGGTGTCGCAAACAACACGTTTGTTTTCACCCGTGGAGAATGTTCATTGTTTAGAAATTTCATATAACTTTAAAGAAAGAATAATCTTTGTCTCTTTAAAGTGCTTTCAAACATGTTTTTGACTATATTATTTTAATTTCATAAAGAGATCCACAAATGTTTTTTAATTTGAAACAATCTCATAAAGTGATCCACAAAATTTTTATCACCTTCTCTTCAACACATGTTTAAAAACTCAAGAAGATTTAGGTCTGCACAAATCAGTACTTCGATTTGGAAATGTCAAATTCGACGCATCCATTAGATAGTAGGGACTTGAAGAGTTCTAAAGTGGAAGACGCGTGGAAGTCATGTAGAGGGTAGTAACCCACGTATTTGAAAACGTATTGAGTGCTGAGCAAATAATCGTTATTGACAATTATTTTTCACTTGTATATAAGTCAAATTTCTGTACTATTAGCGTCGCAAATTTGATTAAGTTTTCTAAAGAATCCAATATCCAAGTTACACTAATTCATAAATTCAATTAATGCAAACAGTTTGTTTCATTATCTTCTTTGTTTTAATTACAATCTTATTTTTTTCCCTTCTAAATCTTTATACTTTTCTGCACATTTTATTTTCTACACGCTGTTCTTGAGTTCTCACGAATTCAGATAAAATTACCTTATTAAAGCAACAAAATTTTCTCAAGACATCCATGCACAAATATATATATATATATATATATATATATATATATATATATATATATATATATATATATATATATATATATATATATATATATATATATATATATATATATATATATATATATATATATATATATATATATATATATATATATATATATATATATATATATATATATATATATATATATATATATATATATATATATATATATAATTTAAAAATAAAGACAAAACTATTGTTTTAGTCCTTCAACTTATTTTAAAATATCAAATTAGTTCTTTAAGTTTTTTTTGTAACGCTTTAGTCCCTTTTAAAAATCTCTGTTATAATAAATTGCAAACCCATATAAATGATCTAACTTAATATTTTAAAATAACATAAAAGACCTAAACAGTAGTTTTGCTAAAAATAAATTATAATATTTTTTAAAAAATACATTAATGTTAAACCATTACATATTCAGTGTTTGTTTAGTTCATAATTCAACAATATATCTTTAGAAAATATTTTAATATTTTTAAAATTTTAAAATGATATGATATTTTATATTTAATATATTTATTTTTATTAAAATATGGGTAATAGGTATATGTATGTGTACTTACATATCTCTAGGGTATGAGTATGGGTACTTACGTTGATACCCAAACGGGTATTGGAATACTGTATTTCTAATGTTGATCATATGTGTATATGATAAAGTAAAGATAATTATAGAAATTAATTTGATTGCAAGTTCTAAATCTTAAAGAGTAGTGTTGAAATATGTCTTTAAACCTTAAGTGAGAACACCTTATCTTATATTATCTATCTTAATTTATCTTATATTATCTTATTTATCTAACTATCTATCTATTTATCTTATCTATATATCTATTTTATCTCATCTTATCTTTGTTAGATCATGATTTGGTTCTGCATCTATACATTTGAGTTTTGATGATAACAATGTAGTATTTGTATGAGAATAATTTTGGTACTCTAACCGTTTATTATTGTGTAGCTTTAATAGTCAGTTATGATTTTGAAAACATGATGTGCAATGTCATTAGTTTCTGAACTTTGTGTTCCAATATTCACTTCTGCGTTGATTCACTTCTAAGAAGTTTTTGGAAAGATGTTATGTTGCTGCTGCAATGTTCTCTCCGTTTCTGCTTCTGGATGTGACACTGACCATCAAGCTTCTGAAGAATGGCAAACTTATAAAGTTTCTATTCTTACCTAAAGATTTTGAAGGTCTCAAGTCAGACGCTAATGCTGTTAAGATTTTGATTGATGATTCTGAAGTTTCTAAAGATCTCAAGTGATGCTATCAAGTTTCTAATTAATGATTCTAAAGATTCTGATTTCAACTTTGTATTTCTTCTTTTCATGCTTCATCATTTTTTCATCAGAAGCTAATGAATTTGAAGATAAGATTAATGGATACATGATCAAATAGTACATGGTACAAAACAAAAACATTCCTTCCACTACCTAGTTTTGTGGGCGAAGGATTATACTATTCTTCACACTTGTCACTAATTTGTTAGTAGAGAACTGCATTTCTCGTATTCCTAATTTTTCCTCCAACGGTTCCTTTTTCATACTATATAAAGAGGATTTGGAGACTTGAAGAAAAAAGCCAATTTTTACAAGGTTGTTTCTACATGAAAAGCTTACAACTTTGTGCATAGTTTCCTTTAAGTGATTGTATTTTATTTGTGTGAAAGCAACTTATAACATAATCTTTATTCAAACTTGTTATTTGTATTTTCTTAAGGGACCAGTTAAGTCAGAATCCTTGAAAAGAGTTTTACAGTTTGTCATTGTGGTTTATTAGTCACCAGTTGTTGCTAGTGCGTTTGTAATCAATTGATTATAGTGGATTAAATCCTTGTGTATAAGACAAAATCACCTTGACGGGTGGAATGGATTAACTTTGAGTCTAAAGCAAACCAGGATAAAATTCATTGTGCATTTCTCATTATTCGATCTTTTGATTGTTGTTTCTTATGTTGGTAAAAAGCTTTTTTTTTTATTTATAAAAAAACCCAATTCAAACCCCTATTTTCTTGTGTTTTTCACACATTCAATTGGCATCAGAGCTCCAGTTCTGATTGTGATAAAAAATTTATCAACACTTCACCGTGTTCAACACCGATCCAGTTTGTGTGTAAGAAACAATGGTTGGTGCTGCACTTGTTGCTAACAATGAGAAAGATCACTACAACACTAAACTACCAGTCTTTGATGGTGAAAAGTTTTATTATTGGAAAGACAAAATCAAAAGTTTCTTTCTTGGTTATGATGTAGATCTTTGGGATCTTGTAGTTGATAGCTACACTCACCCAGTTGATGCTGAAGGTAACAAAGTAGCAAGAAGTGCTATTACAGATTAACAAAAGAAGGATTGTAAGAATCGTCATAAGGCTAGAGCGATATTGATTAATGATATTTCTTATACTGGAAATGCTCAAGTAAAGGATACTGCTAAGTTCATTTTTTATTCTTTGAGGATGACTCACGAAGGAAATGCTCAAGTAAAGGAGACAAAGGCTTTAGCCTGAATCCATAAATATGAGGCATTTAAAATGGAAGATGATGAAACCATTGAGACTATGCTCTCAAGGTTTCAGATACTTGTCGTAGGACTCAAGGTTCTGGATAAAGGTTATTCTACAACTGACCATATCAAGAAAATCATCAGAAGTCTCTCCAAGAAATGGAGACCTATGTGCCTTGAAGCTATTTAAGGATCTGAATAATATTAGTCTTGAAGAATTTGTTAGTTCTTTAAGAAGTCATGAGATAGAGCTCGAGGAAGATGAACCTCAGAAGCAAGGTAAATTTATTGCCTTAAAGTCCAAGCCTGAGAAGGCAAGGGCTTATCAAGCTGAGGAAGAATCAGAAGATTCTGATGAAGACTCAGAAGAAGATGATGATGTAGAAGCACATTTCAATCTCAAGGTTTTGATGATGTCAACAAAGACTCAAGCTCTCAATGATTGCAAGCAAAAAGTCAAAGCTTTCAAATTGATCAAGATACTTACACTATATACCCGTGGGGGTATATGTACTAAGAAACTGCTTGCACTATATACTCGTGAGGGTATATACACTAAAGATAAAACCAGAAGCATATCATCTATGGAATAGTGTCAAGCAAATCAAACATCATGTGCAAATGTTCATTCAACTTTCAAGATTTGGACTCAAGCTTCGGTATATCATTTTCCACTCCTTTAATTGATATACAAGTGTTCAAATAATTTATCATGATAACATATTGCATTTGCATGGTTTTAAAATCATTTGGAATTGGTATAACACTTTTAACTCAAGTATTTTTCTGAGTTTTAATAGTGTTAACCGATTAACCATATGGGTTAATCGGTTAACGACCTTAATTTTTGAATTCTTTGGGCCAACGTTCAAGTGTTAACCGATTAACACTGAACGAATTTTGAAAAGTATTGCTGTTAAAATTCAAATGTTGTTTGAATATTATACCTTTTCATGTTTTGAATCATACTCATTTATACCTTTTTGAAATGGTGTTTTGCTCATATAAATTCTGAAAATTTCAAATTGAAAATAACCTCCAATAATTTTCAAAATATTCATTGAATCAAATTCACTACTTTTCAAATATTTTCAAAAAGTGTTCATATTGTTCATACAATTTCATATCCAGATTTTTGAACACTTGTGTTGATATTGAAGAGTGGATTTTGATCAAAAGGAGAAGATCAATCATTAGATTGATATTATCATTGTATCACTTTCAATATTACAAATATAAAGTTATTTCTATTGTGACTTGTGATCCAGGATTGTTGGATACAAGGGTTAGTGTTTGCAAGAGGATTGTTCTTGCACACTAGTTGTTGATTAGTTGTTAGATTGTAGGCCTCACCGGTTGATGGTGTGATAGGTTGTACTTTCTAAAACTATAGTGAAAACTCTCTTTCATGTGGAAAGGGGAGTGAAGTACCTTCGGATTGTGAAGGGAACCACTATAAATCTCTGTGTCCATTTTTCATTCTGCTTTTACTGCTTTCATCACCAAGAACTTAAAAGAGAAAAACTCAAGAATATCGAAAAATCGGAAAAAGTTTCTAAAGCCTAATTCACCCCCCTCTTAGGCATACTCTGAGCTTACAATTGGCATCAGAGTAGGTTAAGGTAACCTGTTCCTAACGATTCAGTATGGCTTCCGCTAGCACCAACCCGGTTTTCAAAGACGGTGGAAGTAGTAATAAA